TACTGTACGTACATTAAGTTGTTTCACAGAAGGCACGAGACTGCAAACTACATGTTTTAGTACACACACGCATGTTCCATGAACATCATTCTGGGAACAACAATTCTAATAAGACCACACAAAACTAATCTCTTTGGAGGAAGGAAACACGTGCATACCAATTACATGTGACACACATCCCTTCCTCTCCCGTGAAAAGCACAGCTTGATTGATAGTGACACCCACCATTATGATGCTCGACCCGCGTATGATGCGTACTGCCTTGTGCTCGGAAGCTGAGGCTGAGCAGGTGTCTGTCGTCGGAGCTGTCTCTGACCAGGAACGACCCATCTGGCATGTTCTCCAATCGGGACTCGGCATCGTCCCAGCTCATGGGGCCCCAGTACCATCCATACTATGCAACACAAAGACACAGATATGAAAAGTTAAGCAGCGCAACCAAATGTTGCTCTGCTCCCAGCAGGAACAAAAGGCGGCGTGCTTTAACAAAACAATGGCAGTACTCTGGCAGGGGTCTCACCGTGTGCGCGCACAACTTTATGCACATTCGGCACAGAACGTGCTGAGCACTTACAGTACAACCATTACTTATTTGAATACACCAGGTGAGTGCACGAGCCTGCTTGAAAAAAATTCCAAGCAAGATATCTCTTCTTAGCCAGTGAGGGGCACTTCAACTTGGGGTAGATAGCAGGATCTTGTGCCACTTCTTAATAAAAGTGCTATTACACGATGTGGATTGCTGCGTGCAGAGAGATGTTTTGAAGTCACTAATTTCAGCCAATTTTCCCTCCAGTTTTAAGCATGCTTTTGTTGTGCCTTCTGCTAAATGGTCTCTGTCAAATAGACGGATGCCCTTGCACAAAGTCTACATTTGAGTGGTGCCATGAAATGGAGCTCAGACCTGTGTCAAGTTACCGGTAGTATCAAAGGCAGTTCAGTTTGTTCCTTACTTACTGGTACATACACATGTACATGTATGTTTGATCACAAAGACAATGTACACAATAACATTCAGATTGTAGAAAGCCTTATTTGGGCACTTGTGGCCAACATAAACCTACAATCACAGCTCGTTCCTGTCGTTGGTGCCCAAAACTGAAATGAAGTCCCAAAAGCTAAAAGCTTGATTTACAATGTACACACATGGTTGTATTTGGACAAAACCAAAACCAAGGCAAAACTTTCACCAGTTCCCTGCACTGTTTTTATAGACTCAATACAGATACTTAAAATGACAAGCCTAATTCATCTACACGCACGTATTTAAACAATTTGATTTTACATGTTCATGAACAGCTAAACTACATGTACATGTGTATACATACATGTACATGTATGACTTCAATTTCAAAGTCATGTGCAAATTCATCCCAGCAACCGAAGTACAGCAGAGCGAAGATTTTAAAGACTGCAAACATTAAATTTGCAGCTGCTCTCCAAAGTTTATACCCCTGACCTTAGCTCAATCAAGTTTTGGTAACAAGAAAATGACACATGCATTTGCATACAATGTGCATTTACATGTAACTTAGGACATGTACATGTACATTGTACATTGTACAGTAGCATCTCTGCTGAAAACATCTAGAGGCTCTTCCTGATGTGCTACTTACACGTAGGTGCCCCGTCCTCCCCCAATATACTCTTTTCAACAGCGGTAAAGTCTGCCCTGTTTTAACCTTAAGATTCTCAATATCACATTCCCTCAAAGTTTATTTTGCACATGCACACTTTTTGGGGGGACAGAGTTCTGAACTAAATCTTTAAACAATACAGAACGACTATGATTCATGAGGCACTGCTCGGCAAGGCTTCCGAAAGTGAATGCTACTTCACGTTTCCAGCTTAAATAAAACATCCTGTTTCTGTTTTACAGCTTCCAGTTGAGTTTCCAGAAACTGTTCACACCAAAGAATAACTTCTGCCCCAATATTGTAGTGTCATTTCCTTTAGAAAGAGAAAGGATCGCTTCAACAATCATGCACACATCAGTACTTGTATAATTCGGAATATAGGGGTTTATGACACAGGTAAACGGTAGTCCAATAGCTGGTTACAAGTGCTGAAAGTGATGGTGCAGGTCCACGTATGAAAAGTTAAGGGGGAACGTAAAGTACTCATTGGGCTGTGGAATCAATAACATGTACATGTACAGTACATGATTACCTCGCTAATTTTGCGCAGACTGACTGCAAACTGTTCTCTTGCCTTGTCCACCTCTTCTCTGGAAGGATTTTCCACCAACAAGCCTTCTGCAGATGAGAAATTGTTTATCAAAGGTGAAATAAATGGACGAGAAGTCACTACAAGTTACCAAACTTGTACACACTTTTCACATTGGGCACAATGCAATTGGTAATAGAGCTCACCAAATGAGTCTTAAGGCCATACTGCAACTGTAAAGTAGTTTTGTTTTAATTCGCACTACCAGTAGAAAGAACAACTGAGATTTTCATTTTGTTGTACACTGTACACGTACCGGTATATGGTGCATGTACATGTACATGTATGTACACACATGTAACAATAAGAAAAAAGCTAGAAAACGTTGAGGGTTGCTACTGACATACAGTACAGTGCATTTTACAGGATTTTTTATATGGCTTCGGACTCTAGCATGTCAAAAGTGACTCTCTGACTTGTAACTCACTTTGCTACATGTACAGGCTGGTTGGGTGGCAATTACATGTAAACTTCTCTAGACCTACATGTCCATGTAGTAGAATGATGGATTTATTCCTTTCTTGTACATCAACGACTCATCAGGAATGCAGTTTACAGGTGTACATGTAATGGCCAAATACCAAACTGCAAGTCCACTGGTACACGTATCTCATGTACATTGTACTGTACATGTACCGTACCATTACCATTTCTTGTCCAACACAAGTACCGGTACGTACAATGTGCCAGTGGGTACTGAATGGAATAGTTTCTGCTAATTTAGAATCAAAAGAACACTGGACACCGTATGTTACATGTACATGTAAGTTTAAAACTATAACAATCCAAATTAAAAACCAAAAAGAAACTGGTCAACTGTCTACATGTAGGTGTACGGTATCAGCATCAAGAACTCTGATGAATCAAGGAACAGATCGATAACAATGATTTATTTTTTTGCTTTGCTTTTTATCATTACCTTTCACTGCCTGCTGGGACACAATGTCACCTGTCGTTGTCCCAAACAAGGTGTTGTTTAGTCTGGCATTCCCACAGGTCTTTGGAAGCCTGGGATTGAGTGGGATGTCAGGCAAGGGCCGGTCAGGGAAGCCGTGGGTAGAATGACGTTTTTTCTTATTGCCTGGCTTAAAGATCTGCGAGAATCTATTCCTCATGTTGACTGATTTCCCCCTCTTGGCTGCCCGCAGCTCAGGGGGAGACGCCTGTTGGCTCGGGACAGTGTTCCGCGGCAGGGATTTGCTCTTGATTGCTGTCTTGGGGTCAGTGTAAATGTCCATGTTGAGTTCGTGCAGGAACTCATGAGTTGGGAAGTCATCGTCTTCATCATCAAATATCGGGTAGGCCGCAAAGGGGTCAGGTTTTTTAGTGGTGGGCAAGCGTGGGGGCAGGGGAGGTGGCTCCTCGGCACAGGCACTGCTTGCCAGCTCGCTGAGCTCCTTAGGCTTGGAACTCCTATCAACTACAGGTGCCTTGCTCCTGCTTGAAGTACTATCAGAACCTCCTGTAGCACCTAAGATACACTGAGAGTTATCAGCAACTAGTTGTACGTGCTGAGATTTCTCCTGACCAGCTGATAGTTGGGATGCATTCATCGCCTTGGAGGTCTCACTGTAATGTGACTCAATGGGTAGTTTACATCCCTCCTTTTCCCGTGGGCCTTTTTGTTGGAGGGAAAAGTCATTCCATTTCAGAATCATGTGAAGGTCCTGCTCCGACAGACTTGTTGCCTTTGTGTCCACCTCTGGAAACAGTTCGTTACTGTTGACAAGCATAGCGATGTGGGGGGTCCTAGGGGATTTCGGAGAGCCCCCAACGTTAATTTGCGTGTCAAGGGGGATGTTGGTCAGCACCAGGTTGGACTTCGTGGGGTTGGGGTGTTTGCCACGAGGAGGCAAAGGATGCAGCTTTGGCTTCTCACATGTGCAGGTCGAGCAGTGCTTGCCGCCATCTGACTTGCAAGTCTGTCCCTCGCTGTGTGCTTTGGTTGCGCTTTCGACAAGGGCAGCCCTAACGCAATCCATTATTGTTTCCCTCATGGTCTGGTCAATGATGCCTTTAGGCTCTGAAATCCACTCATCTTTCAAGGTGTTACAGGGACCAATTTCACCCTTGTTGTTCAACGCATCCAATTTATCATTTTCGATGCAATTTTCCTCTCTGGTAACTGATGCTTCATCGCTAATTCGTATTGAATCTGTCTGATCTGTGTTCCATGCTGAAGACCTTTGGACTGAGCTATCTCCACAAGTCAGTAGTGAGACACTCTCTCTATTCACTTCTTCTTGCCCACTGCCTGGTAGGCTGCTACGTGTACCGGTATATTTCAGATCAGTGCTGGAAATTTCCGCAGGGGAAACACAAGAGGTCTGATAGCCCTCTGTTTCATCAGAGGATGAATGACTCGAGCGCAATACAGCTGCCGTAAGAATCTGCCCCTCAAAATTAGCCTCTCCTACATGTAGTTCTGGAGGACTGTTTGGCTCAATTTCTTCCACATTTTCATCCGATTTCAGTTGTGGTCTGGGATTTTCCGTTCTACAACCCAGAGTTACCGTAGCAAAAGCCTCAGGAGTGGACAGGGGAGGGTCCCAGTGGGGCAAAGCACTTGTTTGGGAAAAAAACTTTATTGCTGGCTCAGAAGGTTGCTCAGTGGAGTTTGGCGCTTGAGGAGGTGCTTGCACCGTGGCTTTTTTCTCTCCAGGGGAAGTTTCAGAGGAAGTGTCCGATTGCTCCTTCCTGGAAACAGAGCAGCTGATGCAATTGATCTCAACAGCTGGAAAGTGAGGTTGAGCCATTTCCACAGAAGGTGGCTCCCTCGAGGACAAAGCCTGCAACATCCCTTGCTCCAGACCACCCTTTCCATGCTCAAAAGAGGCACTTTCGTCGAAGGCTTTGGTGCTCTCATCGGGCGTCAAGGTCTTCCGCATTTTGGGACGCGCCCCCTGTTTTTCAAAGATGCTGACTTCAGCTTGTTTGGTCTCCACCAGGGAGTCGTTCTTGACTGCATCGTTTGCATTCACATCCATGGCTGCATGAGTTCCATTCAGCACCTTGCCATTCACCTGCATAGAACCATTTGGTACAGCAGTGAGTCCAGGCTGCACACCTTTACCGTTTTCCTCGTGGGAAGTCGCAGGGGAGCTGTAACTGCTACGCCGTGTTTTAGCAACTTGTGAGTCTCTCACGTACGGTATTGCGGTGTCAAGGTCCATCTGAGGGATTGTCATAGACTTGCTTCTAATCTGCGTCCCATCAATGAAGCTGCCGCCATTGTTTCTGTGATAGTGTTTCCCACTCAGGCTCTTGCGCATCTTACTGAAGAAGCTGACTGAGTCTGGTGCCATTTCCCTTTGGCTTTTATGGCTCCGTTTGCTGGACAGCATAGTCGCCTGGACTGTACTATCCACACTGTTGGGAAGAAAAAACCAAAGACTTATAGCACGCACTAATTAAGCATTGTTATGCAAATACCGGTAGCTTGTCTGATACTGCATACATGTACATGTACATGTATGCATGTTCTTGCTACTCGTAATGTAACAAGTGTACCAAGAGGATCGATACACAGTTTCTATCATCAAAATGAAACAGAAAGTCTCTGCAGTGATTAAAACCTGTACACACAATGTACCCGTACATGTAACAAGCATTACTGTAATTCCTCGTTCAAGGGATCTACACAATAAAAGTTTGTACACAGTACACAATGAATATACATGTACATGAACTGTAATGTATACAGAAGCCAAGGTTCCACTTGTACTCCACATATATGTACACACACGTGTACCTGTACAGACACTGTCCGGTACATGTACAGTACATGTATGTGTACACATTAAATTTGTTTGTTCCCAATCATTTCCTCTAGCCACAAAACACTTTCAAAGTTCCAATCATTGAATACATGTACATGTATGTATACACAGTACATGTACAAAACATGTAGCGATACATGCATACATGTACATGTACATGTGTATGGCAAATTCTTCAAAAGATGAACCAAAATGCAATTCCACATGTCATTTTTCAAAACTTCTAAACAGTGACTTAAGTTATTCAAACACAAATTTGCACCTTCAGATTGATAAAATGATCATTTGCAACATGATCACAATGATCACATGTAAGTGTAATTAGGCAGACTGCGTACATTTTGTGGACATTTGGTTTGCTACCAGAGCAAATCGAAGGAGTTGAACTCATTCAAAGTTTTACATACATACGTTTTTTAAGTCAAATTGTTTGTACCAGATGATTTCATTCAAAAACTTCTCTCGGCAAGCAAGAAAATCTGGTATGTTTTTAAAAGATGTATAAGTACATGTACATATAATGTAAAGCTCCTCAAAAATCTTAGAAAGATTAGGCCCTCTTCTTTCCTTTATTGTTTTAAATCACTCAAACTACATACATTTACCTACATCTAAATGCAAACCAACTAAAAAACAATATTTTATGTCTCGTCATTTTACGTCATTTTTGCGGATGTTGTTCAGCTGGATAATTTTCTTCAGAGAAACCTTGGTATGAAGAGAAAACTCCCAAGGCATTATATTTCCATAGAGAGGCTTATGAATAATGAATAAAATGAGAACACACTACATGTATGTACATCTGGGCTGATGTCAAAGGTCGAACAGACCACAATGCCGGCAGCAAAACGTTTCTGCAATATCACTGTGTTAGATATTTATGGACGTTCCAAAGTCAAGGTTTACGAAAACGAACTTGATGAAAATGTGGTCGATCTTTATGGTTGATCTTTTTGACGGAATTGAATGATGATCACAACTGCTGACTTTAGGACCCAATATTTTGAAAGACATGTTTTTAATCTCATGACTGTAGTTTTTGTATTATCATCTTTCACAACCTGCAAATCTCTTCAAAAAGTACCGCAGCAATTATTACTCCCCAATAATTTTTAGGTGGCTAGGATTTAGCCTACATGTATGGGCAGTTCATGTCCGTCAAAAATGGTGACATTTGAGACTCTGACTCTGATTAAGTTGAAAGATGGGCACCGTCATCGGTGTTCCAGATACATCAGCTACATGTACAATACCCTCCTTTCATCAGACATTGTTATTTGATTCACTGCTGTTCACTTCGGAACATGTACCCATACACCATGCCAGTAGCCCACTGTAAAATGCTCAGTGGTTGGGGTTGAAATTCCGTTATGGGACTTACATACATGTTCACTGCAGTACATGTACAGGTGTATAGTCTATACATGTACATGTACACTGTGACCTTGGGCAAGTCACTTTACCCTCAGCTCAAAGTTGCCTCTAAAGCTCTGCCCAGCCAGGACTGAATTCAATGAGTACCTGCGCATGCTGTGAGGGCAGAGGTACATGTACATGTACATGTACAGTACAGTCTACACATACTACCTCTAGAGGGAGCTGAGAGGTTCTTGTGCAGGAAGTACCTGCAGGCCCAATGAGCAGGGATAACATACATGTACGTGTACAGTAAAGTGCACTGAGAGGTCCAACTGTACAGAAATGCACCATATAAATTACATGTATATTACATGTACATGTGTACCAGTATATGTCAGCATGTGTACTTATCAGTATACTGCAGGTTACATGTTATGTGAACTTTAAATGTTTGTTTTGTAAGGAATAATATAAACCTACCTGTAAATACCTAATTTTGTTGAGGGGGGGATGTATTTAAAAGCCAGTTTTTAAGTAAACTTTTTAAATCCTGCATGGTATGTTCCACTGGTCATGCTGGTCAATTGTTTTGTCTCGTTTATTGGCATTGTACATGCCGTATATTTCCTGCTGAATGTGTGAGCTAGCATAAATAACAAATCAAAAGGAAAACATGTATGTTTAGTACAGTATGTTTTGTAATGCTATGTGAGCAGTTTCACAGAACAAGGAAGGATGCAATTGCAATCAACATGGGTATGTTGCTCACACGAATGCAAGCATTTTTGCTGTCATTTGAACATAAATATTCCCTTTAACATTTACTACTGTACACACCACGCGTGTACGAGAACATGTGTTCAGGTACATGATATACAGAACAGTGTATATGTAACTTATGGACATGTACATGTACATGTATGGTGCCATCACATGTGCATAGGCCTATGTACATGTTGCAATCATAGCATGATGTACATTTAGCATGTACCGGTACATGTATGTACATGTACATGTATGTACAGGTACGTGTACATGTAACTACACAAAAAATGTACAAAAATAAAAAAATATAAAACTGGAGAATGTCATAAAAACAAATGTCATATTATGAGCGGTACATACGTACATGTACATTGTACACTTGTACAGTACCACGGTTTTACAGCTTCATGCTGATATGGTGTTTACATGTAAATCATTTCGATATGTGGTCGGCAAGTGAAGCCTCAGGCTCAAAAGAATACATGTAAACCTACATACAGATCTGCAGGTTGTGCAAATTATCTGAGTTTTCAAATAGTTAAAATGATCGATTGTGAGATATTTCACCTTTTTTTAATTCGAATATTCACATGCGAAATGCTTCAAAAAGGGAGAAGATACCAGTAGGCCTGCACGTACTTACATGTACATGTAAGTTTTTGTGACAAAAATCACATTCTCTTTCTGTATAGATGGGCCTACATGTACATGTACAGTACCACTTTGCCTCAAATGCATTTGCCCCTAGGGTGTACAAAGCCCATTGACCCTGTCACTGCAGGCAACAATTGCTTTGTTTTACCGTGGTCAAAGATTTCTCTGGAATGCTCTTGCATGTACATTTATAATACATGCACATGTACGCATATTTCATTGCAAAATAAATTAAAACACTTCGACAAATTGAAACAGATGAACAGTAAATTACATGTAGATATAAATTTAAAGGAAAATTATTGCTTGTTTATGTCTTTTGTTACCGGATGTTTTTATTTTTTGCAGGGGGGGGGAATCTAGGATTTAGAACTTGTTACTTGTTTAATAGAGAAACCTGTTATCCATACAAAAAATTGAGGGTTTTGTCCAGTGGTTGAATTTCGAGACATTATTTACAACAAGATCCCTTGAACAGTTGAAAAGCACTAACAAGATCAGAGAGCAGATGACAAGATACACGTACATGTACAATGGTATGAGCATTTTAAACAGCAATGACAATCGCAGCAGAAGCAGTGATGACAGCATACTCGTGTTCCACGAGCAAAGTACTGGTAGCACCACTTCGGCTATCCAACCTCGTACCAAAACACAATTACAAATGAAGTTCATGATACAATGCAGTAGATGTGACACATCAACTCTGGGAGAAATTACCGTGATCCATCATTTTTTGTGGCCCACAACATCGCCATTGCCCACAACATGTGAATGATACATATACATGTACATGTTTGTAACATATCACACGATCACTATAAACATGTCTATGGTACAAGTATTTCAATGTACAATTATAGTAATTTCAGACTCATGAAGGCAGCCGATATTGCCAAAAGCAAAATATGACTCATTTTTGTACA